AGCACGGGACTTTAGTTTCCTTCAATTTAGATTAAAAATAGAGTGTTATGTTATTCAATTAATTTGTCATCAAGAAAGCAACAGATACTTGTTTAGCAATTAACAAGCTACCCAAGTTATAACTTGTGTTTCAGTGTCGTATTTTATACCTGTATAAAATATTATCAAGGAATTTTTAAAGGAAAATATTTTTAATTCGTATGAATGAAATGAAGTAGAATGAAAATAACATTTCCTTGAGGCTTGTTACAAAAGACATTGTTAGCATTGGTCACATGAGACTGACGAGAAAAATAGTTATGTTAATGAACCCTTTGGTAATTGATAGTAAGTGGTTTTCCTTCGAAAAAAATGATAGTGTATTAAATGGAAATCGAGCAGCGCGCTCGGTCATTATTTTCAATAAGCCTCGGATCTCATCCATTATCCTATACTTAAATAAACTTCATTTAGCGAGGTTAAARCACGGCAGTAACAGTGCTGCAGACACATAAAATCAAAATAGTTTGCAACTATTAGTCTATTTAGTTATAAGTGTCTATCGCCAGTGCCGATTGCCAGTTTGAAGTGTCTATGTAAGAGATAAATACCGAGAACGGAGGCAATAAGCCATATAAAGCACGAGGGGCCGTAGGCCCCGAGGGCTTTATAGGCTTATTGCCGACGTTCGAGGTATTTATCWGACTTATTTCATACTTGAAGAAGTTTTCCAAGCACTGCATTAATATTTTCATTTTAAAATAGGCAAAGAAGCCGTTTTCATATGAACTAAAAACCAAAACCTCGATTAGAAAGGTTACGAAATTTACTGTATTGACAATTCCCAACGGTAATAATTTGCATAACCATTTTTCTCGTTAGTCCCATGAGACCAATGCTAACAATATACCTTTTGTAACAAGTAACTGGACAATGTTAAATAACTGTTTTATTCCACAACTGACATCGATTAGTCAGTTAGCATAGCGTGTTAAGTATAGGATTTTCAAAGCTAAGGTTGTGGGTTCGAATCTACTTGGTGTCATTTGAATTTTTCTTTCTTTCTTTCAAGTTTAAAGTTTCAGACGGAAAATTTCTAAGTTGAGCGTAGTAGTTAATTAGGTATTCAAGRGCAATAAGTACATTACTGAAACTTCGATATAAAGCACTTGAATACACAATGAGCTGTGGAATAAGCTAGATACAACACTATGAATAACAAAGAAAACTGAATCAAGTATGAAATAANATTGCTAAACTGCGGCATTTTGTACCACGCCAAACAATGTTTAGCATTTATAAAGCTTTGATAGTCCCTTATGTAAATTATGGAATCTGTAGCTGGGGAAATGCTGCTAAAACACACCTTAAAAGAGTACTTGTTCTACAAAAGCGTGCGCTAAGATTAATCAACTTCTCAAACCCGCGGGAGCACACTGTACCATTTTTCCTACAGATACACTCACTTCCCATCAACTTCATGTTTTTTGAGCGGGTATGCATTATGATGCATGATATTTTCAACAGTCAAGCCCCAGACAATTTGAACTGCTTATTCAGATCATTGGAAGATGTCCATCGATACACGACACGATCAACATCAAATAAATGTATTTACGTTGATGGCGTCAGGACTGAATCTTGTAGGCGTTCTTTTCGTTTTATGGGCTCTAAAATCTGGAATAGTCTCCCTGTTTCTATTAAAAGTCTGAATAAGTTCAAATTCAAGACACTGATTAAGAGCATCTCTCTCGAGATTTTAGAAAAAGCAGACGATTTTTTAGATATCGATCAGATTATTARCGAGCTAAAGGCTTCATACTGAAGAACACCTTTGTCATCCTTTTATATTTATCCTAATATTTATTGAATAATTTCCTAATATACGTACTCAAACTGTGAATTTGTTACATTTTTATACTAGTTTTTCTCCTTCATTATCGCCCTCGCCTCGAATAGTCTTGGACTAACTGCGAGGGCAAACTTCAAATGTAAATAAGSATGATTCATAAATAAAAACTGTTACTGTTACTTTTAGAAATGAGTCTACTTTCAAACAAGGGGAARCCCATGGCCCTTACCAGCCACCGGATTTTTCTACCTTTATCACATTGCCTATGATCTCAGTCAGGAAAAATGATGATAATATTAACAAGTAATAATATTAATAAGTGTAAATTATCAGTTTTATCTTCAAAGTTGAAACTGTAGTTGAACACGGAAATCTTAGTTAAGAGAAATATTATGTGATGCTTGTACATCATTCTTCTGCCTATTTCTCAAATCCTCACTTTAACACACCTGAACTACGTGTGTWATAGGTGTGTTAAAATGAGGATTTCGAACWACCTTCAATGTCTGGATTTTTCTAATTTTATCACTTTGCCTATGTTCTGAGTTAGTGAAAATGATAATATTAATATCAATTTGTGTAAATTATCAGTTTTAGCTTCAAAGTTGGGTTGTCCAACACTCCGACATGACACGGGTTGACAAATGTATTTGACGGGTTGACCATGTCGCTATTTAGGCAGTTTTGTTTGAAACCTCCCCACACCAGGTTACATTTATTACTCATGTCCATCGGTGGTTATAGATAATGCTAATGTATTTCATGCCACTTAGAATATTTTCGACGTTTTTTTAACAAGGCACCCTCAAAAAGTCGTCGGGTTGTGACAAAACCGGAAGCGACGTCATTTGAAATAATAATAAAAAAAAAAAAAAAAATTACGAGGGGGGAAGTGATGGGCTGGTCAACTTGATCGGGTTGACACAACCCGACGACTTTTTGAAGGTGCCCTGTTTAGAAGACTTTTAAAACTGGAAGTGATGTCACTTATATGCTAATGTGTTACATGGCACTTAGAATATTTTCGATGTCTTGAATACAGGGCACCCTCAAAAATGTTGTCGGGTTGTGTCAACTCGTCAAGACCGGAAGTGATGTCATCGATATGCTAATGTATTCCATGGCACATAGAATATTTTCGATGTCTTGAATACAGGGCACCTCCAAAAAAGTTGTCGGGCTGTGTCAACCCGACAACTTTTTGGCAGGGCCCTCATAGCGGCCGTGGATCTTATTAACATATTGACTACCAACTTCCGGTTGTCCGGGTGTGTGACAAGATCTCTACGCATGAAAGAGGGGTGTTAAATAACATGATTTTCAAACATAGAATAGAAATATTTATAGGGAGGGGAAGGTAAAAGATACAGATTGGTAATATCAAACAAAATTGAGGTGGGGAGGGTGGGCGGTACTTTGATTGGATCGATCGCGACATGGTCAACCCGTCAAATTGGATTGTCAACCCGTGTCATGTCGCAATACTGGACATACTTGAAAGTTGAAGAGCAAACTACTACGAGTGTCTGTTATCTTATAAAGTACTTTGGA